CAGCTGACTCATGGCTACAGAGGGATATTGATATAACTTGGTGTAAGTGGCACATCTCTCCCCTCTGACCCTAACACCATTGAGAAGGAACACTTTGAATCAAAGTTGGTCAACATCTTCTCACACCTGTATGCTGTGACATCCATTCTGTCACTGGCCAGTGACTTAGTCTGTGTTGGGTTCCAGAGACTGGGGAATGGAGATTCACACAACCTAGCAAGGGGAACCAGCCAAGAGACAATGACTGCTTGCTCTTCTGCCCATGTCTGGTTTGTATGTCAGTGAGTGACCATTAAGGAATGTCTCACCCTGAAGCACTTAACTGAACTCATGGCCTGTGGAAGGGAGCCTTGGGTAATGTGGCCAGCCATGGAATCTCTCAGGAGACAGCACATGCGGACCAGGACTCCAAACCCTAGTAATGATGGTCTCTAAGAATGTGACCCTTAGGAACCAGAGTTGATGCCTAAGAGGCCAGGTGAGTTTAATGTGAACTTTTTATATTGCTGGCCACTGCAGGGAACATGTGGTGGCCTTTAGATTGTTACATGTCAAATGTCAGATCATGATGAGGCTCACACATTCAACACACTCCTTTCCTACTGCCTACGTCCTGGAGGCAGCAGGAACAGGTGCAGACAATACCTGCTTTTTGTACCAAGATCTTTTTACACACTACCACAAAATTGCTCAGTAATACTCACTTCCCAGTGGAATAAAGTGAGTCCAAATGATGCTGGGTAGCTTGCTTTTGGACAAAGGCTGACTGGTTGGGACTGTTTAAATTCATCCAAAGTCATTGACACAGATAGGATGATTAGTGTGGTAACAGCCTGGGTCTCTTTTAGTCTCAGAGGCCAACTCCAGAACTCTCATTGACATCCTTTCTTTCCTCAGATCTGCAGGTTCTGCTGGATATATTCAGACAAACCTCATCTTCACCGTATGTGCATCCTGTCTCATCTAGGCAAGTGTTCAGTGAGCTGGGTGCAGGAAGCACAGCGTCTAGACACAGACATGTTGGTGAAACTGCGTTTCCTTCTTGATCCTAGAGCCCGTTTATGGGACAGTAGCAGAGCAGCTAGGACAAACCTGTCTCTGCAATCAGGGCTTCGCAGGGAGAACCCACTGAGTTCTCCCACAGGAAGTCACATGGGAAGAAAAAAGTCATTATTCCTGCCTCATTAGGTCCTGAACTCCACCAGAAATAAACCAGCTATTATCTGAAAGGCCACAGGTCTAGGGTGGTGAATGAATCTTTCTGATAGCCTCATCAATGGTCTAACATAAGCTTTTTCTTCTAGGTGCCTGGCTATATCTTGAATCGTGGACCCCGAGAATTCCTGACTTGCATGTGTGCACACTGAGCATTGGTGACATGGAGGAAAAAGAGCACCTCTCCCCTCCCCTTCCTGGCAGACTAGCATGCCATTGTCTGAGCTCCAGAGGAACTCAGAGTCTCCACACAGCAACAGGAGGACATGCTGTGGAGGACGATGACATGGTTTCTCTTCCATCATCCAACTATAGACAACCACCCCAAATTACCAACAAGACCTGGGGAATCTACAGGAGCGTCCCCCTGTGAAAGCCTCCCACTGGGTACTTACTGTTGAATCTTGCCCAACTTAGACCCATCTATATTTTGACAGTTCAGAAAGTCACTTTTCTTTTCGGAACTCTAGAGTGGATCTCCTGAGAAGGGCAGTACCCATGGACCATCTATCACAGGCCTCCACTAAAATGATGAGGCAGAACTTGAGGTCATACATTTGGCCCATTTCTCACTGGTATTAGGCAGAGACAATTTACAAAGAAATACTGAAGTATTTAATTAGAATTCCAACATAATTTCTATAAATTGGCATTCAGAATGTTTTGACCCCTGGAGGAGAGAAATCCAAAGCTATATGAGCTCTCAGTTTCTACCAGTTGTTATTCTAAAGGTGACAGATGTTTGCATTTCATCTATAGACTCAGCAAAACCCAGTCTAATGCTCAAATACAAGATGTAACAACCAATGGGACCTAAACCTAGAAAACATGGCCGAGGACAGGAGAGATCCCTCCAGACCCAGATCTTCTTCTTCCAGGACTTCCCACAAAGCCTCAGAGATCCACAAAGACCTACATGGAAGTAATGAAGACTGCATATGTGGAACAGAATAGAAAGCTCAGAAACAGACCCAGTGAAATCCTGCCAGCTGATTTTCTCAGTCACCCATGGAAATCCAGGCAGAGAGAATGGCTTCTCCACCAATGATTGTAGAAGAAGATTTAAAAACAAATAAGAAACCCATTGAAAAACTGAACACAGTCAGCATTTCTATTGGCCTCAAATATAAACACTATAATGCTCACATAAAGTTATAGAAGAGGACTACATATTTTCCTGCCTTATAAAAAGGAAGATCAGAAATAACACAGAGTAGATGAACTGTGGACTCGGGAGCCCTGCTGCCACCAGACATGAAAATACAGAAGCTGGAGCGTGGCTGGAGCAGACACTCCCCCAGGACATCCAGAGAGAGCCTGGCCCCTGACACATCCCAGCAGACAACAAATCCCTGACAGTGAAAGTTGTGTGGCTCTGAGGAGGTGGAGGTGTAGTGTGTCCTGTGTGGTGTGAGGAGGGCTGAAACCTATCATATCATGTGGAATGGAGATGAGCTGTCCAGCTGATCTGATAACAGCACTGTATTGATGGTCCAGTCAGCTGGGGAAAGCAACAGGTCTGACACCTAGATACTCACATGTGCTATGCATGCCTCTGCCACTATTAACAACTTGCATACAGGGTCTGTGTAAGGACATGAAGGACTGCCCTCACCCACACTCTCCACAGAGTTCTTTAGGTATTAGGCCTAGATATTCAACTCCCTTCTGATGTCCCACACGCAATGCTAGATTCTAGACCAGGCTAGACATGCCTCCAACCACAATGTCCTAAGACATGGGGAAATGTACCAGGCCCTGTTGCACACTTTATCTTCTGACAAGGACAAACATTTACTGCTTGGTTCAAACACATCTGGAAACTTCCTGCACTGACATACAACACTAGGTATAATGCAACGTGGGACACTACAGCCATGCCACCTCACTTTTACTACCAGCTGTCAGACCATGATAAACAATCTCTACAAGACACACACACACATACACACACACACACACACACACACACACACACACACACACACACACACACACACACACACACACACACAC